GTGTATCCCCTTTCTTTCGAATCTTTTTTAAACAATTCATTTATTTGAAGATAATGCAACCAGTCATATACATGATCTTTAACTTGTTTGTATGGCTTCATTTTCCATTTCCCTTCTTCCTTAGTAACTATGTCTCCATATGTGATCCATTGCCGTCTCATATTTATTTTCTTTACGCTCAACATCTCCAATGGAGACAACCAATGTGATACTTTGGGTTCCAGAATGTTTTGGTACCTCTCCCATACTTCTATTAGAGAACCCCTAAAAATATGATTTTCAAAACTTTTGTGGGCTTTCTTCTTTCCCAACCATAAATAGGCGTGCCAACCGAATCTATTGTCATGACCTTCAAGGTCTAACAACTTGTTATTTTTTAATGCTATCCACTCCTTTAACCAACAGAGACAAGATGCTTCATAATATAGTTTCAAATCTGGCAGGGCAAAGCCACCTCTTTCTTTCGCATCAGTCAACAACTTAAATTGTATTCTTGGCTTTTTGCCCTGCCATATATATCTTGATATCACTTTTTGCCATTCTCTGAAGATCTTTGTCCCCTTGATTATTGGAATCATTTGAAATAAAAATACCATCTTAGGAAGCACACTCATTTTGATCGTCGAGATTCTGCCCCAAAAGGATAATTTCATCCTACTCCAAACATCGAGGTCTTTCTTAATACCATTCCAGATTGTTACATAATTATTTTGATATAAATCAATATTCTTTGGGGTTAACCATATTCCCAAGTATTTTACCTTCTTTGCCACCTCCATCTCTGTTTCTGTTTGCATTTCTTCCATTAAGGTCTGATCTACATTCTTACCCATTAGCTTGGTTTTTCTTTTATTCAAAATAAACCCGGCCACCCTACCAAATTGGTCAATTTCCTTTAACACCTCTTTCAAACTGTTTGCCGGGTCTTCTGTCGTAATTACTAGATCATCGGCAGGGAGATGTATCATTTATATTCTCCATTTGACAGAAGAAAATACTTGTCCTGTAGCCAGGAGCAGGTCATTTAGAATAGGTCAAGCTGAGTTGAGATACCTGCTTATATGGAGTATTGACGAAAGGTCTTACTTTATTTTTTACTTTATTTTGAACGTTATGCACACAAAGTATTGAGAGCTAGTGGAGACCTGATTAGAATCTCATCTTTAGCACAAACTCGTTTTGATCCAAGGATAGATAGGGGAACATGTGGGCCTCTGGATATGGTTGGACAATAGCTCCCATCGGCCCCAGCCTGCTGGATGGGATCTGTGTCACCTGCGACTCAGTAGGAAATATCCAGGGATACTGGAGAGCTGGAGACAAATCAAGGTAGTGATACAAAAACAAAATGTGTTTCTGGGTGCTTCCCAGACAGAAGCTTAATACAGTACAGTGGTACCTTGGGTTACATACGCTTCAGGTTACATACGCTTCAGGTTACAGACTCCGCTAACCCAGAAATAGTACCTCAGGTTAAGAACTTTGCTTCAGGATGAGAACAGAAATTGTGCTCCAGAGGCGCAATAGCAGCAGGAGGCCCCATTAACTAAAGTGGTGCTTCAGGTTAAGAACAGTTTCAGGTTAAGAACGGACCTCCGGAACAAATTAAGTACTTAACCCAAGGTACCACTGAATGAACCATTCAGACGTTGCAAACTGGTTGTTGGCAACTTAAATGGATTTTTCCTGGAATGGGTGAAATCCAGATTAAAAGTGGGAGGGAGGAATACGGGGTGGCATTTTGATGCTGCAATATTTTTTTAATTCCATGCCTGAGGGGGACCACCAATCCCACAACTGACACCCAATCTGGTTGCACCCTGAGTTCCCTCTGTTACTGATGGGAGAAAGATGTCTGAGTGTGATCCCAGATGCCCTCTGAACAGCTGCCGCCACGACACCTGTTTGTGCATATGGAACCTCTGCCTGAGTGTGGTTCTGAAGGAGGGACCTGCTTCTCAAGAGGGATTGCAGCAATGCAGGTCCCCCAAACACAGCCCCTAAGGAATGCAGGAAGGGTTCGCTTCGCTTATTGGCTCTTGGCTTCTGCTCCCTGCAAGTTCCTCTGTGATACGGCTAATGGAAAGGAGGCAGCTGGTGACAAATGTAATGTTGGGTAAAGTCCCACTCCAGGCAGGAGGACAAAAAGGCTTTTATCCTCTTTGTAGTGGGAGGTGTATCGAAGCCTTGAACTAATCATCTTGCCCCCCTTGTCTTCCTGGGGCTGGCAGAAAAGAGCTCCTCTCCTAGCCTGCGCTAACAAGCTAGCCTTTGAGCTCGGCAATCATTGTCTGGGGGCAGGGCTGCTCTCCCTCTCTCCCTTCATCTACCCTTCTCAGGATTGCTAAACAGCAACTCACTCACTCCCAGCGTAACTGCTGGGCATGCTCTTATCAGCTACCTAAATGCATGCTGTTGTTGTTTTATATATAAAAAAGCAACTCCCTGGATTTAGAGAACAAGAAGGAGCTGGGCATTTTTAGTCCCTGAATGTGTGTGCCTCTTTAGCAGGTACACAGAGAGAGAGAGAGGGAGAGAGAAAGAAAGAAAAAGAAAGAAAGAAAGAAAGAAAGAAAGAAAGAAAGAAAGAAAGGGAGAGATAGTTTCCCACAAAGGACTGCATTGCACAGAAAGGAGCATCAGGCCTGTACTAAGACTCTGACCAAGCATCGCTTTCCACCAGGAAGCGATTTACACACACACACACACACACACACACACACACACACACACTCCTAAGCTTCTCTGGCAGCATGGAACTGGACATAAGCAGACCTGAATTTAGTTTGCCATGGCAGTTTCTGGAGAGGGAAGGAAATTGTTGTGTCATGTCTTCCAGACACTGACTAAGCTTGAGAGGAGGGCTGGCCCTACCATTAGGCAGAGTGAGGCAACTGCCTCAGCCAGCAAATGCTTGGGGAAGGAGGCAGTAGCCTCCTGGCTGTTCTGCTGAACCCCCTGGCTGAACCCCCCTGCCTGCACCCACTGCCCTTAGCTGGCTTCCTGCCAGTATTTATATAAGATTCAATTGCTGGTCCAGTCTGCATGTGGACTGGAGGTGCCATCTTGCCCTTCAAGCAGCAAAATGTACCTTGAACCAGTCCTGCTTGAGAATTATAGAATTGTAGAGTTGGAAGGGATCACAAGGATTATCTAGTCCAGCCCCCTGCAATGCAGGAATGGTTCGCCCGATGTGGGACTTGAACCCACAACCCTGGGATTAAGAGGCTCATGCTCTACCAACTGAGCTGTCCCAGGAATGGAGCAAGCTGGTCCAAGCTCTGAGTGGAGAAAGGCTGCAGCTAGTGGCAGAGCACATCCTTTGCACACAGAAAGTTCAATCCCTGTAGCTTCAGCTAAGGTTAGGAATGTTACCCGCCTGAAACCCTGGATAGCCATTGCAAGTCAGTGTGGACATTACTGAGTTAAATGTTGCCAGTGGTCTGCCTTGGTAAGTGGTCTGCCTATGTTCCTGTGAGGTCTAAAGTGTGTGTGTGTGTGTGTGTGTGTGTGTGAGAGAGAGAGAGAGAGAGAGAGAGAGAGAGAGAGAGAGAGAGAGAGAAAGAGAAACATGGGCATACGTACGTATATACAATACAGATATAGATATTTTTAAATTCCTGCCCGTTCTTCTTCTGATGAACTGGGAGGGAGCCTCTAATCGTTATTAACAAGCTCTAGCTGTAGGAAAGAGCACAGATCCACATGCCACACTCTGCCTGGCTAGACAGAGCGGGTGGGGAATGGAATGCTAAGAATCTGCTGGGAACAGATAATTTCCTGCTTATTCCGGAATAGGCCCAGCGCCTGCATCTTACTTGCAAGCCTGTCCTTATGAAAAGAGAATCAAAGAAAGACAATTTAGCTAAGGGTTGGTCCTTTAGAGGGAAGGATCTCTTGGTGGAAATTGCCCCAAGTTTCTGAAGGTATTGCTTCTGTCTCCCTAAGAAATCAGACACCAGCAGTGTCATGCTCTACACATCTGCTTAGAAGTAAGTCCCGCTGAGTTCAATGGGACTTACTCCCAGGTAGATGTGTAGGACTGGAACCTAAATGAGTAGCAAGTAGCATTGCCATTTCTCTCTCCCTTATCTGCCCCCCCCCATGGGTTTGTGTATCTTTAATAGCTGATTGTCAGGCAGATATTGAACAACAAAGGCTTTCACTATCCCCTATAGCTGCATATGTTGAACTTCCTGGGTAACTCTCAGGCATTAGGCTAGATGGGAACAATGTACAGTGGTTCCTCGGGTTACAGACGCTTCAGGTTACAGACACTTCAGGTTACAGACTCCGCTAACCCAGAAATAGTACCTTGGCTTAAGAACTTTGCTTCAGGATGAGAACAGAAATCATGCGGCGGCAATGGAAGGCCCCATTAGCTAAAGTGGTAGCTCAGGTTAAGAATAGTTTCAGGTTAAGAACAGACCTCCAGAATGAATTAAGTTCTTAACCTGAGGTACCACTATATATGCATGCACAGGGTAGCTCTCCCCACTCTAGCAATGGCGAGTTCTGGTGCAGTCAGCTGTCTGAAGAATGGGAAGTGGTCTTCCTCACAGGTCTGTCACAAGGCTAGACACAGTTTACGCTGGTGATTGCAATGGGCTACCGTTTGTGTGCAGGCATGCTTTTTCTGTTGCTTTCAAATGTCTCAAATGTGTCATCATGATGCAACCCCCCCCCAATGAAATCAGAACGTGTTAGAATTATTGAAAGCCTTTTCACTGCTATCAAAAGTAATTATCTGATTACTTACTTAAAAGACAGAAATGATATAATATTTCTAAAATGAGGTAATAGTATTTTAAGGAACATATTATCTATATTTGTGCTATATAGTAGTGAAGATACAAATTGAATGTAGGACGATCTGGTAGTAAATTAGCGAACATTCAACCGTAATATGTATTATGTCATCCATAGTCTGTAAACTTTGTATATTTAAAAAGGCTAAAAGAAGAAGTATTATAAGCAAACAGTCTGTTTTGTTTTCCTAGTCCCCCTCCAAAAACTCCACCAAGATGTCGAGCAAACGGGCCAAGGCGAAGACTACCAAGAAGCGCCCTCAGCGTGCGACTTCCAATGTCTTCGCCATGTTTGACCAGTCACAGATCCAGGAGTTCAAGGAGGCTTTCAATATGATTGACCAAAACCGTGACGGATTCATAGACAAGGAAGATCTGCATGACATGCTGGCATCTCTCGGTAACAAAGCAGTATTGAGTCAAATGCAATTTCATTGTGAGCTGGCGTGGCTCCGGGGCTATGAGTGTGAGCTGTGAACCAGAAAGCCCTCCCTTTCAATCTCACCTCGGTCAAGAACTTAGTAGATAGTCTTAAGGCAGGGACGGGGAACCTCTGTCTCTCCAGAGGTTGCTGCACTACAGCTCCCATGATTCCCAACCATTGACCAGGCTGGTTAAATAGTTAGTTTGCTTGTTTTATTAAGCCTACATTTACATTGAATTGAATTGGGGGGAGTGGTTTTACTGTTGCTGTTGCTAAAACAACTGGGTTTGCCAAGCTACTGCAAAGCAGGCAGACATCTACCAAAGATCTTCATCCGCCTTCTTGCCATCTCTGCTCAAAGCAACTGGAGATGTTGAGTCCTCAACTTGTAATGATGGTGCCAATACCTTTACATTAGCGATGGGGATCCTGTGGACCCTGCTTTAATCTCATGTTGCCCTAGAGGCACCTTAGACCCATTCTTGCTCTCTGGATCACAGTAGAAGGAGGTCCATTGGGGTGAGTCAGGCACTTTCCTACCAACTCCATTCTGCCCCCAGATAGCCTGCACTTGCTTGCCTTCTTACTTTCAGCCATTCCAGGCACTGCCTATCATTTTACGTGCCCTTGTGGAACGTAACACAGAGACGGATTTAGCGCAGCGCAACCAGTTTTACTCCACTGGGCGCTGAGCCTAGGAGGAGCAACATGGCGTCATAAATATGACTGAAATATACTCGGAGTCGAGTGTGGATTTCATGCTCTTTGTTTAGCTCATAGTAGCAAGGAATGAAAGTTCCCCCACAATATCTGCTTTATATACATTATTTACACAATGGGCCACACGTGATTGGCTAATTCCAGGCCTCTCCTGTAGGCCAATCAGGTTGCGGATTCACTTCCACCTGGAGCTGGATTGGGTGGCTCCGGCAGACCAGTCATACTGCTGCGTTGTTCTAGGACCAATCAGACTGCTGCATTCTGAATCCTATTGTTCTAGGACCAATCAGACTGCTGCATTGGGGATCCTATTCAACTCAGTACATAACACTGACATAGTGAAATGAGTAGAATGGAAAGTGAGAGGTGGGGGCACGCACCAGATTTGGGGCTCTCACAGGGTGTAGCTGAAATTCAAAAGACCAAAGTCTGCCCCTGATTAACAGGGCGGAGGATGGGGACAAAACTAGAATTACTTGGCTCTGTTGGTTATTGGTGTAGCTCCACCAACTGCCTTTCGCCAGTGGCCAGCACTGATAGACAATCCCTCTGGGAATTGCTTCACCTCCTCCATTGTGTGTGAGAGAGGGGGAGAGAAAGAGAGAGAGAAGGAGCCATGGCTGTTACGCAGTGAATCAGGAGGTAGGGTGGGAGTTTTGCAGCAGAGGCAGATTTAGGGCAGCTTGACCGGTTCACCCACACTGGGCACTGAGCTGAGGGTGGAGCTACAGGGCATTGCAACTCTGACGTAATGCACACACAGAAAGGAAGGTGAGAGGTGGGGCAGGGGGAGGGCCACCAAATTTTGGCCTCACACAGGGTGCTGCTGAAATTTGAAAGATCAAAGAACACCCCTGTTTGCAATAAGCCATGGAATATGAGGGAATGTTGGATTATTCAGCATCGACAAAAGAAAGTTCTTTGCACATAGTTAAACTATGAAATCTGATCCCACAAGAGGCAATGATCCACATCTTGAAACTCAGAGGAAACAATATGGGGTGGGAGAACTTGGTGTTCATTTTAACAAGCCGAAAGAAGTCTGATGGCCAGGCCTAGCCTCTTATTCCCAGAAACTCCCCCTGCCCCAGAAACCCAGGCCAGTTGCTAAATCAGGCAGGGCAGGGCTGACCTCAAATGACACTCGGAAGCCTGAAGCCCTTGACCAACTCTGCAGAGCAAAAACTTGCTCAAATGGCCAAGGGTGAGAGATGATGGGAGCTGCAGCCTAGCAACATTTGGGGAGCCACAGGACCCTCATCCCCCTTGCTCAAGGCTTCAGACAGTTCTGGGTAACTGTTGGACTTCGTATTTTGCAAAATAGGGGTCAGCAATTGCTTCTTCGTCCCAGAATCCTAGGTGCAACCTGAGGCCAGCAGCATTTAGCAGACACTAATCCAATCCAATCCAATCCATATTCAAATTAAGGTTGTACGCACACGATCCATTTAAAACACATTTAAAATATATGACTTTTCCTCAAAGAATCATGGGAACTATAGTTTGCTAAAGCTGCTGGAAATTGTTGCTGTATGAGGCTTAAACTGTCTTTTTGTGGGGTGGGGATGTGCTTTAAATATATAGTATGTATACAGCCTGAGTCTAGTTGTGATCTTATGGGTGTCATGTTGTTTATTTATTTTGTTCTCCTCTTTAACCCCTGCTTTGCATAACCCAGCCTGTGAAAGAATTAGGAAGAACTCAAAATTATGGTCACAATTTTGTGACTTTCTGGTTGGTCCTAAAAAAGGGATTGTCCAAACTGTGGATTTTGGGACAAACAAGAACAGATTCAGCTTCTGGCAGACAGGCTTATAGTCACCCCAGGCAGACTCAGTCTCAGTGCGGTGACAGTTGTGGGATGAAAGGGTCCTCTATGAATATCCAGACCACAAAGGCCAGATTGCATTCTGGACACTCACTGAACCATTGTCAAGCCCATTTCAAGGCCAGTAAATTCATCCTGAGTAGAGAGGTTGTGGGGACTATAAATCAAGGAAATAAAATGGTTGAGAGAACACCTGAATGCATGGAGAGGAATCAGGAAGTAGTCATCTGATTAGTACAGTTCAGAGTTTTGAATTTTTTTAAAGCATTGTATTTGTACAGATGACCACTAGAGGGCACTGAGGTAGATAAAAGTACATTTTAGAGACTGATGAGCAATTCAGGAGTACTGTATTTCATCAGAAATGGGGATCCTGCGGGCATGAATGCATGCACACAGTAAACCTGAGCAGACTGGGATTTCCTCCCCATTTATTAATAAGTCATCCTGACTTGGCAGTATTTCCCTCCTCCCAAGTTATTTTCCCCCTTTCAGACAGCCGTTCCTGATTTGCTAACTTGCATTTCAACTCATCATGCTTGTCTCCTAACTAAGCCATAACCCCAGGACCTGGTTTTATAGGCCATTTCCAGGGAAGCTCCTAGGAAACTTGTCTTCTTCGTGAGCAAAGGGCCCTTTCACCTTTGAGGATAAGGTCACAGGGGCGTTTTATTGCCCTGGTTTAGTTAGGCCACTAAGAAATGTTTATATTCAGGTTTCTGTTACGAATCCCTTGCAGAGGAGGAGCAAACTTCACACTGCTAGGATACAGCCAAGGCAGCTGACCTGGACTGAGCATACTGTTAACACTTTTGGTCACTTCCCATCGTTACGATTCCTTCTATCATCCACATCTTGTAAATGAGTACAAACTGAGGTTGCAATCCTATGCCCACTTACCTAAAAGCAAGTTCCATTGAACTCAGTGGAACATACTTTTGAATAGGATTGCACTGCAGCTCATATCATCCCTGACCCCTGGGCCTGATGCAAATAGCAGTCCAACAACATCTGGGTGGCAAGAAGTTCCCCATCCCTGGTGTAAAGACAAATGCTTACCAAAAAAGCATTGTTGTGCTACAGCCAGAACGAGAATTAATCTTGAAGAGACAAGTGCAAGGATGGAGGATTCCAATATATTTACATTCTCCTCCTCCTCCTTCTTGTTGCTGCTGCTTTGCTAGGTGAATCCAGTTCCAATCCCTCAATTTTTCTTTCCTCCAGTCACAGACAGAGAAGGCAATGCAGTGGCCACATCTTGTGGGGCTCAAGCAGTGAGCTTGAATTGCTCTGCTGGGCCAGGGGCTTTCAAATGTGGACTAATCTCTCATCCCACTTGTACCTTTCAGGGAAGAATCCTACGGATGAGTACCTGGAGGGCATGATGAGTGAGGCACCTGGGCCCATCAACTTCACCATGTTCCTCACCATGTTTGGAGAGAAGCTGAATGGAACTGATCCGGAAGACGTCATCCGCAATGCTTTCGCTTGCTTTGATGAGGAAGCCACAGGTATGTTCCATGCAGACCACCTCTCCACTGCAAACTGGATATTCTAAGATACGGTAGGTTGTGGCAGCAGTTAGAGCCAAACAAACACACTGCTGTGTGTTAGCAGAAATCTTCACACATATCTGAGGCCAAGGAAGGATACAGCTGGCTTTCCCTTCTTTCATTCTGCTCACTTGCCTCCTCCACAATCAGTTCGGACTCTAAGCTCCTGGAAGATGGGATCTGTGCCTTTGGATGGTACTACTCAGTGAAGCACTATGTACACTGTTGTTGCCAGCAAAATAACAATAGTGATTCAACCCTTAATAAGTGAGGAGGTGTGCTTATTGGAAGGGAGGCTGCCATGAGACAGATGCTTACTGACCTCCTTTTGCTTGGAAATGAATTAAATAAAATAAACCCAAAATATTAGGCAGGAAATAAAATTTGTCTGCCCAGTGAGACATAGGCCCACAAACCCTTGAGAAACACTCAGTAGCAGCCAAAGCCAAAACATTCTTTATCTTAACATATCTGAGGGCCGCCTCAGAAGTGACCTTCTACTAATCTCCCATTTGGTTCTCCACCCCCACCCAATCGTCTCCACCATTCATACAGGTTTCATTCATGAAGACCACCTGCGGGAACTGCTCACCACCATGGGCGACCGGTTCACGGACGAAGAAGTGGATGAGATGTATCGAGAGGCCCCCATTGACAAGAAAGGCAACTTCAACTACGTGGAGTTCACCCGTATCCTGAAGCATGGAGCCAAAGACAAAGATGATTAAAACGAAGAGATTCCGATATGCAGTTGCCCCTGTTTAAGTCCCATTCCCCTTACTCTTCCTCAAAGATTCCCTGCTGCCTTGGTCAAGTGTCAGAGTGGGCTAACCCTGAAATATTTCAACACAATTAGCCCTACCACTAAATAAAGAATAAGATTTTTGCATGTACACCCCCACCCACACACACCCCAGTGTTGATCCTTTATGAAGCGACTTCTCAATTTGGAGGTCTCATTGAGTAAGGTACTTGTGAAATTTGTCTTTTCAAAGGAGTCTAATTGGAAACATTTTTGAAGAGGAAGGTAGAAGGGACTCTGAAGATGCAGCTACCTGTCTGGCCATGTTCAGCACATCTGTTTGGGGGGGAACCCACCCAGCACTGGATCTAATATAAGTTAAGGAGGCCTGATTAAATTGCCCTTTGAGTCTTTACCTAGAAAACTGATGCTTCTATCATTACCACTATTTATCATTTATACAGCACTTTAAACTTGCAGAGTGACTTCCCATCTACCACCACAACCCTGTGGGGTAAGACACTGTTATTCCCAGCTGAGGCAGACATGTACCCAGAGCCGCACACAATACTTACAGAGGTGAGACTTCAACCCAGCTCTTCCATATTCTAAATTGAACTTTATTATGCTAGACCATATAAGCCTTCCTCGCTGTTTATGTTGCACCCATTCAAAACCCACTGGGCATCAATCCAGCCTTGGGGTTGTTGTCTATCCTGATTTAGATGGCCTGGTCTGTTTTGCCCTTGTGATACTTTGTGCACAACTAACACCTTTTCATTTGAAGATTGGCAGAGCACATTCCACACACCCCACACCTGTGGAACAGAGACTCACTTGACTTTCCAGTTGTTTTCCATTTCATCCCAAATTTGTGTTGCCTGTTGGGTCGTGGCACTGGTTAAAATTAAAATGACTACTTCACCAAGTCATCCTCTCTTTGGTCTCAAATCCAGCATTTTGTGATTTCTTGCTTGAAAGAGCACAACAATTAAAAGCTCACCTATCCACTCTACATCTACCTTGATTTTGGAAGAACTTGCTACCGTTAGTCCCTTCCTTTATGAAAAAGTATATTTTTTGAATATAGCAGAAGACCATCTATAACCCATCCTGGCTAACTTCCCAGTCAATAAAATAAGGATGTAGCCTCTACAGTTGTTTGTTGACAATCAGAGCAAAGATTTTGAAACTGAAGGGGGGAAAGGAAATTGCCTATAAAGAGTATAATACGAATATGTTCTGGCTCATTATTTGGTTTTCTTCTTTATTGGATGCGTTTGAAAACAGATGTATTAATTATATACACTTATTATATCTAAAGAATGGAACAAGAACTCCTTTTAGCCTTTCATACAGCCTTCAATTTATATGCCTGAACTGAATATAGCCTAAAACGAGAAGCCAATATTATTGGGTGGTTGTGCACAAATTTGCATGATCACCTAACTCAAGGAAACTCTGACTACGCAAACACTCACATCTACTAATTTGCTGAAATTAGTAGGACTAAAACCTCAAACCTATATATGCACATTCAGGAGGAGATCACATTTGAATTCAATAGTGCTTTGCTCAGGTAAGTGTGCACAGAACTGCAGGCCACAGTGAACCGCCAAACACTTAAACACCATTGGCTTTGATGGTACACCCAGCTTTCTCTAAGCATGGTCAATGTGTTTAGGATCAGGAGGTAAGTCTAACATTTTCTGTGAAAAGCAGAAAGCCATCTACAACAGCTAGGTCAATAACTAAACTTTTAAACATATTTTGCATTAGAGGAAAGGTCAAAGGGCCTCATGGCGCTCTCGGCTCTGCCTATTGACTGGCTCTCACTGGAGCTAGAATATAGGCAAAAAAAGCTTGTTAACCCAGTCCTCCTTATTGTGAATGCCAGCAGACACCCACTAGGCATTTCATAACAGAAAATGATTATGGAATTCCTGCTAGCAGCATGAACTGCAGCAAAGTTCTATCTGTTACATCCTTGAACCCACCTCCTTATGCAATGTACCTTGACTCTTACAGGGGTGTGAGTGAGTAAGTGACCGGTATGATAAGGGGAGAATCCTTAGGACTGGGGATTTCAAGGAGGGTGGGCAGGTGGGACACTTGGGCTGCTAGTTGCTTATCCCTGTTTCCCCAATTTCCCCTTTTATGACTGTGTTCTGTCACCTAGCAACTCAATAGCATGTTAAGCATATAGAGGTTCCTCTCTCCATCTTCTTACTCCAGCGTCCAGTTTATTTTACCACACTAACTACAACAGTCACCTCTAACTCTGCCCACGTATATTAGAGATGACAATATATGTAGAATTATAGAATTGTAGACTTAGAAGGCATCTAGTCCTAACCCCTGCAATGAAGGAATATGCAGCTGTCCCATACGAGGATTAAACCAGCACCCTTGGCCTTATTAGCACCATGCTCTAACCAACTTAGCTGGAGTTTGGCATAATGTGTGCAGAACAGATTGGGTGTTTTTTTTTTAATTTGGTGGAAGAGAATCTCTGGCTTTTGTCTGACAGGAATGTAGCCTATGATGTCAAGTCCACATCCATTGCGCCACTCGGATTTTTTGTCTCTTACCCTGCCCATCTGTGGTACAAGACCTTAAGAAGGTACTCCGTGAAGGAATGTGAACTTTGGGTTGAAAATAATGGTTCCTCATCCATGAAGGTTATGGAGGAGGCTCTCTGCAAAAGGTGATCTAGCCATCTGTTTGAGGACAGAAGGGGTGTCATTTTCCGCCCATTCAGTCTGCACCTTCAGCTACTTCTGGTCAAATGCGAACTACACAATAAATAGTCCAGGCATTTTCAGGCTGCAGAAACTTCAACACCACTCAAATGTACAATACACAAGTGGGGCCTCACTCCTGAGTCTCCCACAGCCAACACTGAAATGCCATAGAATTCAATTTACGTGGCACTCAACCCTGCCATGAGGAAAGGTTACAACATTGCAGGCATTTTGTCTTGGAAAAAAAGGTTGAGGTGGGGACATGAAGGAAGTCCATAAATTTATGTAGAGGAAGCAGTGAGGAGTTTTTCCTCCCACTTTCATAACACTAGAACTCAGCGTCGTCCAATGAAGCTGAATGGAGAGAGAGTCAGGGCAATCAAAATGAAATGCTTCACCACACGGTGTGGAGTGAAACCTATATAATTTCCTCCTATTTATTTACTGTATTATATTTCTTTCCCACTTTTCCTCAAAAGGAGCTTATAGTAGTGTACATTGTTCTCTCTTCCCACCCCCCACCCTGGCTGTTTTGGGTTTCAAGCATCACATTTGTGAAGTGCTGATGTTCTGAATATGGCAATATGTACAAAGTGATCCCCACCCCCACAAGTATGCATTCCCGCAAGGATGCATCCCTATCTTTTAAATGAGGCTGGATTAGAAGCTATAGACAGGGCCGGTCCTACCATTAGACAGAGTGAGGTGGCCACCTTAGGCAGCTGATTTTGAGGGTCCTAAAAGGGCAGCAATCATTTACTTATTATTTTTATTTACTGTGTGGATCGGGTAGAATATTCAGGCACAAGGGCTGAATGTGGCCCTCCATGCCTCTCAATGTGGCCCTCAGAACAACTTCCTTCTTACCCCACCCATCCTAGGCCACACCCCTCACTGGCCCTGTTTTTGCCTATCTGTAATGTGTGCTTAAACTCTGATGATGTCTCTTGCTTGTCTGAATGGAAGACAGAGGTGGGTGGGTGAGTAACTAGCGTACTGTACATGGATAATTTTTTACGTTAATTGCTCTGTGGCCCTTGGAATGTTGCCTAGAAGGGGATGAGGCCCTCGGGCTGCGAAAGATTTCCACCACCCTGCTGAAGTACAGGGAGATGCTTTGACAAGCAGAGAGAGGTGGCTGTTCTGTTTGTGGGGAATTTCATGCCAGAAGGTGCAAAGGGGAAAGAAAGAAAAACAAAGGGTTGCCACCTTCATTGGCCTGGCAGATGTCCTGCACCTTTAGCAGCTGAGTGACAGCTGCACCTTTCCCTCATTTTCCACCAGAGTAAAAGACGGATCTCTTGGATTTCTGACTGTCATGAAGTCAGAGTTCTCCTGCGAGTACAGAGAAGGGCTAGACGTTAGAGCAAACATCCTACTAACTTGAGTTACACTGAAGAACAATGGGCTTAACTGAAACTACTGACTTATCCCCCATAGCGTGGGGGGATGGGAAGAGAACTGTGCCTGGGGGGAATTTTTGAAAGGGATTTGTGGTGTAGAAAGCCAAGGATGTGTCCTAATTGTGCTGCATGGATTTTTTTTTACATTAATTCAGAGATTTTCCAGTTTATGTTTAAATCCTGAATACATACTCAATCCAATATGTATTAAAGGGAACTATGTCCCCTGAAGAAGCCTTAGCTGCTATCTAGAATATATACTGAGGATCACCTTCTCTGCTGGATAAGATTTGGCCAGGAACTTCTAGAACTGAGAGATTTTTTACAGCGATGCATTTAGATTATAGCAACCTCAGAGTTCATTGACCATGAATGTATGAAGAAAAACAAGAGGAAGTCAAGGTAAGCAATTGATAGTTTCAGAACTACTTCCCTACTTTTGAACTATGAAAATTGTGTTGCTTGCGCGGGGGGGGGTGGGGAGCCTGGTAACTTGAGATCAATGAGTTATTTATTTATAGGAATGGTGTTAATTTGAAGTGATCCCCCCCACTTGCTTGTAAAAAGGTTTATTTTTTCCCCTAAATGAATTTTATTCTGAACATTCTAACCATGGAGGCAGTTAGATTTAGAAGTAGTGTTTACATGTGGCAAGCTGCTGATACTTACAATAAAAAATTCCCCTGTGTGAGATTTAAGACTTAATTTTAGAAAGGCATTTCTCAATTTATTATTCAAAAGCAAAACTGAAACTTCATAAATTCAAATGGTGAAATCTTGCCATATTACAAAATTCTGGATGGCAAAATTTTGCATCTGCTTTTATTGCTGCTGGATTTATTTTGTTGCTGCTGTGTTTTAATGGATTTTATTGTAAACTGCCTCAGGTGGTATGTAAATTCATTTAAGAAATCTCTGTAAAACTCCTGGAGCACCGCACCACTTCTGCATTAGTTTTCAAATGTTCCTTTGTGTGTGAAATACTGTTATGACAACAGCAAATGAAGCATTAACTTAATGCAATCATTGAGTCCCATGAGTGAGTGTTTTCATTTCTACCTGGTTTTATCTGCTGCAACTAAAATCTGAATAGCTAATTTGCTGAAGGGAGCTAAAATCAATTGAACCCAGATGTAAATCCACTCATGTCCTCTATGCAAAGATTAACAAAAGAAGCTATCTATTGAAGCAGCTCAGGTGACTAGGAATTTGAGATAAGGAATTTGAAGACTGTTCAAATTCATTGAATTAAAAGGGTGTGTTGAGGCAAAAGAGAAAAGTTTTTAAAGCTTGCTCAAAGGAAATCAAGGAGTGTTAGAAACATTTCCAGTGTGTTTGGAATGTTATGTTTGTATTCTTATATTGAGTAAAGACAGCAAAACTGTTTGTGTTTACCATTTTCCACTGTTGTGAGTGGTCACTTGGCTTATCTTCAGAAATGTCACAGGCTATTATTCTTTTTCCTTTCATTCACATTTGGCCTCATTTCCCACCTTCTATACTTGTTACCTGGAGATAATTGCTTCATGCATCTGATGAGGTGATTCAGCAAAGGTTTATCCTGCAATTAAATCTGTCAAGATTTTAAAGTGACAGCAACACTCCCTATTCTTTTGGGGCAAGTTATGGTGATTACCTGGGGCTACAGAAAACTTTTAAGGAGGCTGAAAATGGTTTGATAGCAGCATCACTACCTGCGATGGAGGTACACACATTTTGTTCCATTATCATCTGATTGGAGAAGTTTTGTATACAATGAAAAAAACGTGTAGGCAACAGTGGGTTGCTGGAAATACAGCAAACTTAAACACTCTGAAATACATGATGTCTTGATGCCTTGCTCTACCAAAAGATATTATAAGAATAAATGAGGTATTGGAAGGCTAAAGGTTACCCACATCTGCCCATAGCTGTCAACTTTCCCTTTTTTTGCGGGAAATTCCCTTATTCCAGCACAGTTTCCCACTGCTTCCCGCTGCTATCCCTGATTGATAGATATCCCATAGACAGTCCCCGGGTCAGGTGAGGCTGCTGATCCCTTATTTTCAAAGTTGACAGCTATGCATCTGCCCTGCCTTATTTTACAGAT